CCATCATTTGAACCCTATCTCCAGTTGAACTGATTCCAGGGTTTTTATGATGTAACAAAGAAGAGAAAACTCTTTCTGAGATTACTCTTGACGTATTCTCACTTGTTTGTGTTACCACAAGTTTTCATGGAGATACGTTGAATTTAATGTCAGTGCACATTTCGTCGTAGTTTTTGGATTTCTCAGGAACGGTAAAAGATGTTGAGCTTATTTTTTTATGCCGTATGTAACTTTTGAATGTTGAAAAAGGGTAAAATTTTCTGAGCAAACGGATTTATTTTGCTGGAATTATGAGGGAAACAAAAGTGAAAATGTCAGTGCACAAATCGTATGAAAGTCGAATTTTTCTCCAAGAGAGTGTTTCGTCCTACGCTAACCGAAAAACTACAGAAAATTTCTTTTCACCAAATTGTTATGCTTAGACTCCTCAATCTCTTCACTCTAGACCGACCTTTCTAAATAAATAATATAAATAGTTACTGAGAAAAATCAACGTTTATGTCAGTGCACAGAAAAACCGAAAAGTGTTTGTTATCACAGTATTTTTAGTATTTCATCGACTAAGTTTCGTTTAATTTAAATTTCAAGTACATATTTGAATAGCCCAAGGATTTTGCTACGAATTCAGTTAAAACTTCTCCCGCTTTTATTTAATTTTGTTGGGAAAAATATGAACTTTTCCTGACGAATCAGCTGAAAAAACATCAGTTTTAGACTTTGTTTGACGAACATCATGGCTTCCTTAAGTAACAGAGAGTTCTTTCGTTCAGAAGTGAATATACAAATATAGAGGAGTAAAAATATTAAAAGAATTTGAAAATTCATTGAATAGAACGGTCTTTATACGCAGAACGGTAACGGTACAATCCCGTTGCAATTCACTCATATGTATTATTAGGGCTTCTGAAAAAAAAACCAGAGCGAAATATACAAAATTAAAAAAACTTTTTAATTGATTCACTACTCTATAGTGCTCATTCATTGAATTATTTGAGACAACTTCACAAGAATTAGGCTTCTACAGCCTCTCAAGAGACCGGAAATTGTACAGAAAGTTGAAAACTGTATAAATATGTACAGCTGATTTAAAGACACTAACCGTAAAAATTAATAACCCATTTTGTAGGGAATTAAATTCTGTATTTAAGGACATGTCATTCAACTTTTTTTCGAAGAATTTCTTGGTTAGGAAATTCAAAATACGGTTTTTGAAAATCTTAAAACCCGAATTATAGAGTCAAAATCCCACTTTTACGTACATTTTATATTTCTTTTCAGCTAATCTAGAACAGAGAGAGAGACCGTAAAAACAGATGTCTTTTTTTTTGACATTTCACATCTTCATTAGATGCCTAATACAATAAACTTGGAAATAAAAAATACACAGTTTTCGTGATGTTTTTATTCTTTGTGATCAACTGTCGAGAAGAGTGTATATATTGACAATGTATATCAGCATTTTATCATAACACAAATATTCACACAGAAACGTTTAACAGTTTGACATTACATCTAATAGCATGTGAGTGAAGGCTTTACTTTGAATATGGTTTGTCGTGAAGCAGTGGGTACAACAGACAAAACCTTAAACAATCAAAGACGATTTAGATCTTAGTTGTTGAATGAATGAGTCGTATACAAAAAATTTCAATTCTCTGTACAAGACTGCATCGGACACCTCTTTTAAAATCTAGTTCACTAGCATTCTTTCAACTTTTATCTTAGGAAAGATAACCACTCATACTTCTATGATAGTTACTATGCGTTCGCACATCTTTAACTTTTCTATCTGTACTTAAAAATTGAATTTTGATCGCTGTTGACAACAGAGTTCTATTGAATTATGAATGGTCTTATGTAAAAGAAAGAATGAAGATGGTCTAGGTCTTCATGATAAGGAAGTTCTCTAATCTCTAACTCTGTTGACATTTTATTGTTGATTGATTCCCACAACAATAAAAACGACATAAAAAATGGTTCGTTTATGACTTATTAATTGGTCATTAATTGCCAATTAGTTGGCCATGTTTTGGTCATTAATGGTTATTTTATATCATTAAATGGTCTCATTATTCGGTCGAATTTAGACCGTTTTTTACTAGGTAAAAATGATCATTCAATAATAATCATTTGTGTCATCTCTCAGACATTAATGAGACATTTTTAGATCATGAATTGGATGGTCGATAAATGCTCGTTTTCGATTTCCATTAACGGTCCATTATTATTGTTATGTCTTTATTTATTTTAGGTAGAACTTCTTTAACAAGTGATTCTGACATCACAACTAACAGTTTTATATGTTTCATTGTCAATTTTTCAATCTCAAATAGAAATTTATCAGATCTATCAAAAAATAAATAATTATCGTTATTGATTTCTCGAAATAACGTTTGTATACGTAGTGAATCAAGAGAATTTTCTTGCGAGCTATCGTCCAGCCAAATTGAGGGTAAGAGGCCGATTAACCGACGTTTGAGAGCCCGACATTTGAGCGTCGACATTTGAGCGCCGACACTTGAGCGCCCCGACATTTGAGCGACCGACAATTGAGCGACCCCGACATTTGAGCGACCGACATTTGAGCGACCGCCACTTGAGCGCCCCGACATTTGAGTAATAACGACCGTTCAGCACCAAGTGCTCACTCTCATCCCCACTCACCCTCACCCTACATAGCCTCACCCTCAGATCTCCAAATAATTCAGTTCATAATCGGACGACAAAAAAATTGTTCTGATCATCGTTATCGAAGTGAATAATCATTCGACTTTCCTGATCGGCAAAAAGTCATATTGAAA